ATTGTAGGTCCCCTTTCCTGCAGAGGTCCCAACTGTCCAGCATTTTTGGTGTTTTTTATAGGTAGGGGGCAGCTTTACAGAACTAAATATTAAAAGAAAAAAAAAAAAAAAAAAACAAACTAAACCAAACTCAAACTTCTGCTAGTTGCTCAGAAACTGTACTGATCTGAAGTACATGTCGGGAATTGTGTGCTGCCAGCCTTGCAAACAGCCTGAACTGTGCAGTGTTAAATGAGCAGTATCTTTCCATCATTGGGATCTCTTGAGGAAGTTCATCTCAACCTGGATCAGACCTTTCCTAACTGATGCTTCCTAGCTAGCTGGTCTCACTACCCTTTTGCTTTTGATAGGCATGTGGACACCCATATTTTGCTATGGTTGTACATAACTCCTGTGAATTTACTCAGAGCCAGCACAGAAAAACGAGGTTGCCCAAGAAAAGCATCAGTCCCAGAATGGGGGCTTTTGCCAGCCCTGATTTCTTGGGTCTGACTCCGTGTCCTTTAAGTCTATGTGAACTGCTAATTTCAGTGGGTGTTACCTGGGCCCATGATGTTATTTCTGCTCTTGTATCCGTCTGCTAAATCACACTTAAAAGGAGCAAAATTGCTATTACTCCCACCTGTATCATGTAGAAAAGCCTTGTTGCCAAGGAAATGTTATGCAATCATGAATGAGATACGAAGTGCCTAGTTCTTTCTTGAAGTGTTGGATATGCAAAAAAAAAAAAAAATGGAAAGAATGTGGAGGGGGAATCATGGCCATAGATACAGATGTTTGTGTAACACGCCTGGTGCCTTTTGATTGGGATTTTGTGCAATCCTAACTTATTTGTCCACCTCAGTGACCTGGAAAAGGAAGATGAATTTTCAGAATGAAGGGCTACTGCTTGCCTGGTGAGAACAACAGAGTCTTGTGCAGAGGGCAGGATAGGGACCTGTGTAGCTCCTGTAAATTGGGGAAGTTTTCAGTGTTTGATTGATAGCTGTGGTTTTATGAAACCATTTTCCTCGCTAGGTGAGATGTTGTGTGTTTTGCAGATCAAACACACCAGGCACAGCCACCTGGCTGAGCCACCCTCTTAGGGCTCGAGGTAATTCAGAGGGTAGTGGAAGAGGTGTAAGGTAGAAGCATTACCTCATGCTTTCTGTGGCTAAAGTCCTGAACACAGATATGGTAGTTGCAGTTTAGCTGCTAGGTGCTAACTTGCTATGACTTGACATCTGGGACTGTGCCAGCAGCCCAAGGAGAAGAATAATAAAAAGGTGGTTGACTATCTGTTGTAGTTTTCTGGTCAATAGGTGTTCTCAAAAATATGTCCAACGTGTTTCTTCAAAGCCTCCTTCTCCTGCACCCCAGAAAGATGAATAATGGTTCGTCACATACTCTCATGGCCGCTCTTCTCTGTTCTCAAATCTTATTTTGTCATTATGGGCCTTAATGCCCCTGACCCTGTGTGGTTTGGTTGATAAAGCCACCTTTTCTCTGGCTTATTTAAAGTATAGGTTGTCCACAAGCATGCTGCTGCTGTGTCTCTGCACAGTGGCGGACGCTAATTTTGGTGACTGTATCAGTTGACTGAGTGTAAGAGATTTTGGCACCCGGTCACGGAAGACGGAGCGAAGCTGGATGAAATTTGTTCAAATGCAGAGAATTTGCCTCGGTGCTGAGAGGCTTTGGTCTGGGTGAGGCAATGGCAGTCCTCAGGCTGGATCTGGTTCAGGTGACAGTGCTGGGACCGTGGGCACTAACAAAGCTGTGCTGCTGTGAGTTGGCTTCTGCCAAGGTTAGCCAGTGATTTCAGCATGTGCAGTCCTGCAGGCTTAATTGGTGTGAATTAGACAACAACAAGGTGCTTTTCTCACACTGAATATTTGCTAGCAGCCACTCAAAAGGCCTTTTGAACACCATGCCTGTGTCCTGCTATTCCATTTATCCCTCAAGGAGACATTTGTCAAAGCAGTGATGATGGTTTCAAAGATTAGGAGAGGTTCAAGTGAGGCTGGGGTGGAAGGGAAGGTGGAGAGGAGCCACCATGGCATTGTGGTGTTGATTCTAATTTATGTCTGGTTTAAAGCTGCTTTAAAAAAAAATAAATATATATATATTTATTTAATTTTAAAGCCACCCTTGCGCCCTGCATTTCTGGGTTGTCTTGCTTCTCCAGGGAGGGCTGCACAGGATCTGTCTCCTGTTATGGGCTGTCTTTTGCTCAGCACATAAGAAACAGCCTCCTTCTCCTCTGTGCTAGCATCCCTCCAAAGACTTTGCAGACAAGCCTGTTCCCTTTGAATCGTCTTTCCTCATGTAGGATCCACCCAGCCAAAAACAATAAAACATAAAACTGGAAAGGGAAAACAAAAAAATAGGGACCTTTTGTGATTTTTGTCTTTTGCTGCCAGTTGGCTGCACAACTTGAAACTACTCAAATGCTCCTTTTTTTTTTTTTTTTTTTTCACTCCTTCAAATCCATTCAAATATGTTCCTCTTTAAATTGCAGCAGGGATGTCTGTGAATAAGTCTCAGACCCGGAGCGACAGCCTAGGCATTGAGGAGCTGGTCTCCTCGAGCACCAGATGGAAAATCAGTCCTACTAAACCCGTGGGGTTTTTTGGGGGAACAAAAGCTTTCCGTGGTCTCTGTCTGGACCCAGGGCAACACAGCCCCTCTGTGAATTTGTGCTCCAGGGTTTAAATGGTGGCAGGCGGCGCTGAGGCCCCAAAATGGGCCTTGGCCTGCGGAAGGAGGTTGACTTTTAAAATCTCCGTCATGGCGAGTACAAAGGGCAGTGGGCTGAGTAAATAGATGGCCGAAGCAGCATGAGGCGTCGTGTGTGGCGGGTAATCGCTGTGCGGGCAGGCGGCGGAACCGTGTGGGGTGTGTTTGGCGAGGTGTCGGCTGCGGGGGCCGCTGTGAGGAGAGGCGAGGCCATGGTTCCACAGCGGCCGCCCCACCGCCCGGAGCGGAGCCCGTCGGCAGCACCTCTCTGGAAAATATGTTTAAGAAAGGGCGAACAATGCCAGAGGGGAGCGAGGGAGGGTAGTGAGAAAGAGGACGGCGAACCCGGAGGACAGTGAAGACGCAGGGGAGGAGATGCTGGAGCAGGGGGATGTTCCCGGAGAGGACCCGTGGCCTGTGGAGGCCCCATGGAGGAGCACAGGAAAAACATGAGGAGGAGGGAGCGGCGGAGAGAACTGTTGGTCCTGACTGTACCTCTCCCAGTTCCCCATTCCCCTGTGCCTCTCCGGAGTGGAGGTAGAGCCGTCAGGAGTGGAGGAGGAAAGCTGAGCCACGGGGAAAAAGGGGGTGGGTAGGGGTAAGGTGTCAATTTTAATTGGCAATAAATCAAATCGTTTTTGCCCAAGTGGAGTCTGTTTTGCCTGTGACAGTAACTGGTAAGGGATCTCCGTATCTTTATATCAACCCATGAGCTCTTTCACCTTACTTTTCTTCCCCCTGTCCTGTTTGGGGAGGGGGAGCGATGGCACGGTGGGGTGGACACCTGGCAGCTGGCCACGGTCAAACCACCACAGTAGCAGACATTCATTTTTGCTACCCTAAGTACTGTTGGTGCCAAAAATGCTTGGCACTGCCCCTATGTCATGGCTGTAGCGAAAGCCAGATGACTCTTCATAAAAAAGCAGGACAGCAGTTGTTTCTGTTAAAGTTTTTGACCTCACTTTGCTGTGCTCTGGTTCCTTGGTGCCTCTGCCATCTGTGGAGGTCTCACCGGTTGTCACTTGAAGATAGATGTGGTGACAAGGTAGAAACAGAGGCTTTTTTGACTGAAAACAAGAGGGAGCCTTTCCTTGTCTATGTGGTGTCCAGGGCAGTAGCTGCTGCATGAATAACCTTTGTTTTAATAGAAATAGTGAGTGTAATGTTTTTTTTTTAGGTGCTGGGGTATGGGGACTGTTCATAGAGCAGCAAGAGTAAAATGAACGAGAGCAGGAGTGAGCTTTGTGCCTTTGTGTCAGAGTGCTGCAGGGTGACTGCCTGTTCTCCCGCTGCCTGGGGGGAAATGGAGAGTTTTCCCATTGTCAAACCCGTGTCTCTGGGGCTGAACCCCTTCTTGTTCCTACTCCTGATTCCTTCTTTCTCCTGAGAGTAGGATTGGGAATTGAGGGAATTTAACCCTGTTTAGAGCCTGGCATGTAGTTCTGCATGTCGCAAGGGTAGACGGCAAACCCAGGGCCGCCTTACCAGTGGAAGGGAAGCTTTAGGATCTGTACGAGCAGGAGTTCACATGTATTCCCACAAAGGGTTTAGAGCAATTTCTGTTGCTGTTGCATATGGGGTACTTGATTAATTCTGCTCACTTAGGGTGGAACTCATTTGAGGGGGACATATGTGTTTTGTGTAGCATTGAGTGGTGGCCAAGCAGCTTTCATTTAGCAGTCCAGTTCCAGAGAGGGATTCCCATGCTGGTGCCATAGCTATAGTAGGAAAAACCTGGCTTGGATATTCCATGTGTTTTCTGATGTTGTAGTATTTCAGAATTGAATTAGTTCTAGCAAAAGGCTCATCCTGACTTTTCTTTCAATGCCTGCCCGAAGAGACTGAACTCATTGGGAGTGCATTACCGGTTTCTGGCAGATGGGGGCTGGTGAAGATGACGGTGACATGCACAGGGATGCTTTACTGTAATTTCCTCTTTCTTTCTTTGTCATGTACTCTAACGTGTTTAGACTCCCAATGATTTGCAAAACAAAGATGTGATTTATGGTATTTTGCATATACTTTGTGGTAACTTTATTAATGCAGGAAGTTTATTTGCCATCACTAAATCTTGTCATTTAAATCAGATTTAAGTTGCTTTAAAATTTATACAGTTTGGGAGCAAAATTTCAGCCTCACTGAAATCAGTGGCAAAACCACCACTGCCACTGGGATAAGATTTGACCAGTGATGCTTTAAATTTGACCTGTGATGCTTTTAATGTGTCTTCTAAAAAAACCTTTCTGCTCCTAATTGCATTCCTTTGTTCTTTTTTCCTTAAGTCTTGTGAAGAAAACAATCTGAAGACAATGCATCTGTGAACCCTGATACCAGCTTGTGAGTTAAGGCGATGGAAGTTATAGAAGGCTGCCAGCATACTGGTCCTGTGATAGCTCCAAATGGATATGCAAACAGAATTTTCCAAGCAAACATGGAAGAAGGGAGTACTGACGTATTGGAGTATTGTGGTGCTGAGCACTGCACCTCCAGTGATGCAATCCCGAATGAACGGGAGGAGGCACCCCGGTATAAGAAGATGACCAAGGGCAACCGGATCTGGAATTTTGTTAGACGAAGGAAAGGACTCTCTACGAATAAAGGAAGACCCCAGTCCATGATCCTACTAGGAGTTACCTCTGAGGTCTCAGAATTAAAAAAACCATCCTTCATGGACAGGGTAAGGCCATTAAAAAAGGGAAGAACCTCCAGGATGCCTAAGAATGTGGATTTGAGAGCATCTGGAGTCCAGGTTGCGTGTGACCCTGAGGAGGACCATCATGCCAGCGGGCAAAGAGCTGTCTACAGGGTTAAGAAATTGGGTGACAGTCGGAGGCCCTCCCGCCACTCGTATGCAGGCTACATTGATGATTTGGATTCTTCTTTTGAAGACATAGAGCTGAATATCAGCATTCCTGAAATTGATGCCAATGAAAGTAAATGTCTCAGGGATATTACTGTCAGATTACACAGTGAAGATAATGATAGTAACTGCCATAGAATACCAGCTAGAAAGAGTGAGTCTTTGAATTTTGAAAACTTTAAGAGTCCTGCAATTACAGAAGGGGACAATCAAAGGAGGTGTGCTGTGCTCCCCCAGGAGAGCAGAAGAGGAAGAAGCTCTGATGTTTGGAGCTATCTGAAAGGAATTTCATTAACTAACAAAGATAATTCAAAGCTTCCAGATCAAAGGGCTGAAACCAATTTCCAGAACTTAGAAAATATAACTGATCATCCTACTCCTTATTTTGACTTTGATACGAGATGTGAGGAGAATCTCAGCCAGCGGAAAAAATCAAACAGTGCAACCAAAGCCACTCACTTTGGGGGTGTTGTGAGGTTCTTCACCAGTGTGGCCGAGGCAGCTCGGAGACTGCGAGGCTCCTCAAGGGCATTTTCACCTGATGAGAAAAGGCCTCAGCGGAGTTTCCGAAGCTGGAGGCAAGATGTTACCCCCCACAAAGAGGGCTTGGTTATTGAGAACGAGAGCGCAAGGGCCTTCTGCACAGTGGGAGCATGTCTGCAGTCCCCAGATTCAGGCACATGGGACAATTTGAGCTTTGAGAGTTTGGTGGGGAAGGAGCCCATGCAGCATTGCAAAACCACAGAAGTATCACAAGACATTGGTTCCTCTGCCCTGGACAGTGAGAATGATAGATTTAATAAAACATCACTTTCTCCTTTTGGGACAGAACCATCCATCTCCCACGTGCCAGAGCTCGCAGATGACTCTTTCACTGAGCTAAATACTAAGGACCTCTCTGAGGATCTGACAACTCTGAGTAAACAGAATCAGGACTCAGACAGTACTCTGGAGAAGACACAGGTCATGGACAGGGACCTGCCACGTTCTCAAGGTCTTCCTGTGACTAATCTGGATACTGTGGACCTGGGCTGTCCTTCAGCTGCAGCTGGTGACTCTTCTGCAGTGACTGAGGCTCTGATCCACCTTCCACAGACATCCCTGACTAAACTTGATACCGAGGACATGGTTTGTGCTCCAGTGGTTGCTAAAGACATGGATCCATCTCCAGCAGTGGCTCAGGAGCTTTCAAAGACAGAACTGGATATGCAGGACTTGAGAAATCCTGAGCTGTCTTTGCAAGACTTGTCTGGAGGTGAGCTGGGGATTCAGGAGTCAGGCAGAACTCTGGAGAAGACACGGGTCATGAACAGGGACCTGCCACATTCTCAAGGTCTTCCTGTGAATAATCTAGGTGCTGCGGACCTGAGCTGTCCTTCAGCTGCAGCTGGTGACTTTTGTGCAGTGACTGAGGCTCTGATCCACCTTCCACAGACATCCCTGACTAAACTTGATACCGAGGACATGGTTTGTGCTCCAGTGGTTGCTAAAGACATGGATCCATCTCCAGCAGTGGCTCAGGAGCTTTCAAAGACAGAACTGGATATGCAGGACTTGAGAAATCCTGAGCTGTTTTTGCAAGACTTGTCTAGAGGTGAGCTGAGGATTCAGGACTTGGGCAGTACTCTGGAGAAGACACAGGTCGTGGGTAGGGACCTGCTGTGTTCTCAAGATCTTCCTGTGAATAATCTTGATGCTGTGGACTTGGGCTGTTCTCCAGCTGCAGCTGGTGACTTTTGTGCAGTGACTGAGGCTCTGATCCACCTCCCACAGATGACCCTGACAAAAGAGATTCAAGACACTGGCAGTACTCTGGAGAAGACACAGGTCATGGACAGGGACCTGCCATGTTCTCAAGATCTTCCCCTGAATAATTTGGATGCTGCAGACCTGCGCTGTTCTCCAGTTGCTGATGTTGACATTTCTGTAGTGACTTTTTTAAAATGTGCAACAGTTAAAGGACAAATTTTAGAGCAGACTGGTTGCCGTGTTAAAAAGCACGGAACCACTTCATTTGTAGAACAAAACTCTGTAGAGATAATGGACAGAGGGGAAGAGTTTAACTGTAACGATGAGTGCCATCCATTCCAAGTGCATGTCTCTAGAATTGTCTCCTCCGGACGGCTCAAAAACGGAAAGGTATGAGTAACTTTTACTACAATGTTATCAATAAGTCCATACTGTTACACATTTTATGAAGTTGGTTTGCACGTGAAAGCTTTTTTATATCACTCACTGGGAATTTCAGTTAAGTACTCTATCACATGAATGATGGCAGTAGACACAGATTTTATATCAGTCTAAAAGGAGTCAGGTAACTGGCATATCCCTGAGCTATTAGTGTAAACCTCCAGAGCTGCTCCTCCTTTGGCCATTTGTTTGTATCAGTGCTTCTAGAAAAGGGCTGTAGCAGAAGTTTTATGTGTTTCTAGTCACTACCTTTAATTTTTTTTACCTCTCTGCATTTGGTTCATTTAAAGTAGAAATTTGTAAGAAGAATGCTTTTGACAAATTTAGAGTTTTGAAGTGTGCTGTGGACAGATGGCATTCAGCAATTGCACTATGACCCTTATGTTTTCTTACCTAAAAAAAAATAGTAGGGGTAGTGATAGTCTGTTTTTATTAGGTGATGCTGGTTACAACACAGCATCTAGAATACCAGTCAGACCCTTGGAGCACAGTGCAAGAATGGAAAAATAAAACAAAATATCTCGTAGAGCTCATTAGATCATTTCTCTGGCAGATCTCAATGAGCTCTCTCCCTGCTCCAAACCTGTCAGAAGTTGTGTGGCCTCAATAGTTTGGTGCTGAGCCTGTACCAGAAAGCCTTGATAAGAGGCTGGGTGGATAATGTGGGCAAAATGCCTTCCTAATGCGACTGCACGCTGAGTGGGGCTCTGGTAAGAGCTGAGCTGACTTGCATCCGTCTCTACACAAAATGACATGGCCTTTTGGGATGGTTAAATACCCAGCCCTAAGTGAAAGGTGGGCCATGGCGGTGACTCTAATTATGGCAGTGCATTCCTGTTTGTTATAAGCAAGTCTTTCAAAGCCCTTAAAATTATCAAAACATTAAATGGACCTTGCATTTTGGACTAGGTTCTGGGTATTACAAGTCTGTCTTGTCCAGCTTAATGCTAGGAAACCTCAGTCCCATGGATAAGGGGATCACACATGCAGGATGAGAAAAGGCCTCCTGGAGCCAATAGACTCCCCCATTTAACTCTCAACCCGTTGCTGTAGCACCTGCACATGCATCTCTGTGTGTGGAGCAGAAATCTGTGAGCAGTAGCAGTTGTATCAGCTGTGCCAGGCTCATGGCGCTTCGTGCCAGTTGTGGAATTAGTACAAGTTTGTGGACAAACCATAGTAGGACCCAATGTGAAGCCCGGCTGTTTTGGTTTGGATCCCTGCTGATTAGCTGAGGCTGAAAGGATGAGGTTTTTTTTCTTTTTTAAGATGCCAGGTAGGGAAATTGGATCAATTTGTGAAGAGACTTTCTCCTTTCCTTTTGGGCTTGGAGAGACCAGAGATGTTACAGAGGTGATGACATCGTTCCCTGTTGGAAAAGGGTGACTAACTTCTGAGCCAAGAGGGGAAGTGTTTGAAAATTGGCAGTGGATTAGAAATGCCGGGGGAGAAAAATCTGAACTTCTGACTCCCAGCTAAAATGAGCAATACCATTGTTAGTTATTCCTGGATTTGTTTTTCTGCTCCGTTTTGTGTAATACAAAAAAATAAAGACAACTTGCTGTGTAATTCCAGGCACTTATGAAGTAGGGTGAATAGTGGTTAGTCACTTCTTGTGGTCTCTGGGAGAAGTGTTCTTAGGAGGAGCTTGAATGAGGGCTGTGGTTTGATATCCCTTCACAGGGACAAAGCTGAAAGTACTCTGGGCAGGAGCAAGATAACAGAGGCATGAAAGGATTGAGTGGAGCAGAGGAAAATACTGGCACTCCTTTCCCAGAGCAGCCACATCTCTGTTAGCTGAGGGCAATGGCTGCATGCCTAATCGCAGACCTCTTAGGGCAAAATCTGAGCCATTTCCCAGGTCAGCTGTGTGAACAGGAGTTACAGTAAGCCCCAGCTCAGCTGTTGCAGCTTACAAACATTACCAAGAAACTTAAATATGGTGCTTGAGATAACTGGACAGGAAACCTCCCCCGAGTTCCCGTCGAGTGTGGCGATAGCAGTACGACCTCCGGGCTGCCGTGGCTTCCGGCTTCACAGGCGGCCTGCTGCCTCGCTGGGCAGAAGGAGCGGCGGGATGGAAGGGAAAAGCGTACAGCCTACCCTGGCTTGTAAACACGTCTGCATCCCAGAAACTCAGATTAGAGATTTAGAAATGCACCGTGATCTGGCAGCAGCGTCAGAGCCAGAGCAGTCAAGAGTGAGGCTAAAGGAGGGACACTCTTGGGCAGGAACGGGCCTAGGGAGTCCACCAGCAGCTCCAGGAACAAATGACCTGAGATACCAGAGGGATTTGCTTGCCTGTCTCTCATCAGGGAGTGGCACTCGGAAACGTTTTACCAAAAATAAACATGTAAGAGGAATAACTTCAGCTTGAGTCTGTGACAGTAGCAGCAAACTCCAGTCTCTTATTGTTTTAGGGCTAAATCCAGCTCTTTGCTGGCACCTGTTCCCCAGGACAGTTGTTGGCCCTCCTGCCTCCACTCTGGGCTGCTCTGCATTAACTGAAGGATTTTCTATTTCAAGTGAAACGTTGAACCACAAGCAGGGAGAAGGTGCTGCTAGGATGGGGTGGCTTGGCTTGGTCAGCTGCTGTAAGCAAGTGCTCTGGCAGTCTTAAAATGTGCTAGCAGTGTAGAGCAGAAATAGCTCAAGCAAGTATTTTCAAAACAACCTACACACTGTCCCACAAAAAGCATAAAAGTGCTGGTTCTCACTGAGGCTCCCTGCACGAACCCGTTAGGAGATCTCAGAGGCTGAGGCTGGTGTAGCACAAAGGATGCTGGAGTGGGATTTAGGAGACCTGCGTGTTGGTCCTAGCAATACAGCAAATCTGTAGCAGTACTCTCCTGCAATTAATGTCCCTGTTCCTTGCTTTCCTAGTCTTGCTTTTTAAAATTTTAATGTCTTTGGGCAGGAGCTGAGTGATGTTATAGTCAAGTAACACGTCGATAGGATTTGATCTTAATGCTGTAAAGGAAATAGTGCAGCAGCATTTAATAAGAAGACCGGCTGTGGAAAGGTAGAAAACCACTTACTTCTCAAACTACCCCCCTGCCTAGTTGCTTTCAGACCCCATCCCAAATTCTCATTTGTTCTGGGAACTTGTGAAACAGTGAAGAGAAAAACATTTTGAAGAACTGAAAGAACAGTAAAGGTCAAAATAGATTGTCAATGGGAAATGAATTGCTGATTTCACCATTCACACAGCTGCAACCCTGGAGTGAAGGTGCCTTATTTTGAGAGATAGAGATGAGAAATAAACTGAAAGATGACATGGAGGTTTTGCTCAAGTTTGGACAGTTGTAAACTCTAAATTATTCCATTTTCCATGGCCTCACTGAAGTGAATTTTCCTTATCCCATCTCTAAAAACACCAAAGCATCCCAACAGGGAGAATGCTGCTGCAGGGAGTCAGGCATAAACCCCAGAAGTTGTATTCGACCACTTCCAGTTACTTGAAATGATGCTTAGGTGGAAGGAAGCTGTGACACCGCATTGACTACTTTGCGATTCCGGCTTTTCCATTGGGATTTCAAACCACCTGATGTGTCCTTGGACAGGGTCTGGGAGGGGATTTCATACCTCCTTTGGGATTGACATAAGAAAAAGTTGCAAAATATGCATCTGACTTTGTATTTCAGGCATCAGGTTAGAGTTTTTAGGACCCAGAACCTTGATTTAGGCTTATTTCTGGCAGAAAGATCCGCCCTGCTTGTCTCAGAGGCATGCACAGGGACTGGGCACTGCAGAGCGTTTAGGCTTGTGTCACTCTTGCAGTGAAGGAGCAGAGGGTTTTCCCTGCAGTCTTTCTGTGCCCTCTGCTGGCTTATTTGTGAAATAAGGATTTATTTTCATGGAAGGGAAAACCTTATCTTTTTCCTTAGGATTTTGAATTTTATCTCCAAAAGGTTTACAGACTGCAGCTTGCTGCTGGCTGTTGCGACTGCACATAGGCACCAGTTGGTTTTGCGATGCCATTTTCTGGGGGAATGATGATTGCCAGAAGTGTGAAAATTAGATTACCACAGGCTTGTCAACCTGGGCAAAAGGTGTCTGTCCCGTAGGATGAGGTGTCAGGCCAGCCCGGGATGCCCCAGGTTTCCCAGCCAGTTTGGTTTCAGAGCCCTGTAAGGTGCTGTCTGACCAAACTCGCTTCTTGGCATCACAGCAGATGGTTGCAGATGTTTCTCTTGAGCAGCCATGGAGTTTGTTCCTCAGAGTCCTGTACTTAGGTGCCATCAATGTGTTCGGAGTGTGGTTACACTGTGAGTGGCCCATCCTGATGGTGCAGGCTCAGTGCTGTCATGACGTTGCTGGGTTTTGTGATTTCTGTGCAATAGCTGCACACTGTGTTGCTCTGTGTGGGAAAATCGGAGCCTCTCCCTGTGCGGTGGGTCTAACTGGAAGCACAGGATTACTGATTTGCCTGAGTGTGCGCATGCCAGAGGATGCGTTTGCAGATTTGCTATCTGATAGCTGGGGCATATCTCAGATCCTCCCACAGGTTTGGAGTTTTACCTTAGTGCAGCAGCTGCAGGTGCATTTTCCTGAGAGGAGGATACAGCAACTTTCTTTTTCTGTATTTGATGAGAAATTGCAAGTGATGTGCAACAAGTTCTCATAGTGACCTTTAGCTTGAGATTATTTGTGTCTCAGCTACAGAACATCCTGGGAGCAGCTGCAGAAATGGGACTGCTGAGTCGATTTGTCTTTTCATTCCCCACTCTGTTGGATGACACTAACCAGGAAATGGGTATTTCTGAGAGTTGATCTTCAGAGCTCTCTTCATCTCCTGGTTATTGGCAGTGAACTGGGTTGTGTGTCAGCCTGCTGCTGGTAGTTGTGCTTGCAAAAGACTTCATAGTCCTTCCAAATTAAGAAATGGTACTTTACTTTCTAAATCCTGCCATTGCCAAAAGAGCACTATACTTCTTTCTGTAGCGATGTATGATTTAGTTGCAGAATAAAGATTCTGTGTATTTATGGCTTTTAATATGGTTATGTCTGACAATCATTTTTAGAGGAGACAAAACCTCTAGAGCCTATCTCCAAGCTGTTCAGATTTTTGTATTTTTAATAACCATGAGGTGCTAGCAAAATCTTGAATTAAAGCCTATATTTAGTTCTATGTATAGTGGGGTAGGGTTTTTTTTAGGAAACATATTTTTAGCATTGTCAGGGAAAAGCAGGTTGAGTTTGCAAAGCTGATAGGCATTACATGTCTATATAACCAGCCACTGAACACATGGGCAATTCAGATTTCCACACGTTTTCTTGAAATACTTGTTGGGTCTTGCCTTCATCTAGTTCCCAGTGTCAAAGTTACAACAGGCCACCTCCTGCCATCCTTGGTGCCATCAGAGTAGCGACATGAATGGGGACCTCTGGGCATTGCTGGCCTATATGCTAAAGGGACTATGTCTCCAAAAGTTCTTTGGGTGGAAGGTTTTCTTTGGCTTTTACTTCCTCCCAGCTGTTATCCAGTCAAGAGAAGCATACTGAGTCACTGGACATGGTGCTGGGAGCAGGGAAAGGGAGATCAAGCCTTAATTCATCCATAGACTCTTGCTGTGCCTTTGGGGTAAGTATAGCCTGTCCACTTTGTTCTTCACCTGTAAATAAAGGTAATAGCACATGAGTGAAAACAGGCTGCCAGAGTCTTGAGGACAGATACGCTAAACTATATGAAGCACCCAGTTATTAGCAGGGCTGTGGAAGTATGACAAATCTGTCTCTAATTGAGGCTAGAAGCCTCCAAGAGAGGAGCACCTCCTGTTTTCCTCTCCTGGCCTTTGTAAACGGATTATTCTGCTGATTTCTTGCCTTTAAGGTTATACATAAGACTTCCATGGTGTCACACATCACAGGGAATAAAATAAAAAGTAGGAGTTTGAATTGTGATGTTTTAAAAAAGAAAATTAAATTCTGCAACATATCGCTACACAAGTTGTCTTTTTCAGAATCTTTTTTGCCTGAAATAGTATAATAAAAGTTGGAGTCACCAAAAGTGAGGGAAACTCCGATGTTTTTCTCCAGTTAGCTATAAACCCCAAATAATTATTTGGATTAATGTTACCAAACGTTAAGGTATAACTGGGATATCTGACCACTTTACGGGTACTTCAATCAATTGCAAGTATGTTAGTGTTTGAAGTAAAATTTTGTAGACTATTGATATAGAGGACATGTCTTGTTAACAGTTATTATCAGTCAGCTTCCAGAGAAACTACTGTGATGTTTTCTGCTTTCCTCTGTGAATCATTCAGGAAAAACATTTAGTTTAGTTTTGCTAAAAATGTACCTGGGCATTTTCAGAGAACGAGGTCCCAGTTTTCTTTTAAGTGCTGTGGTGTTCTCCTCCTTGCATTTGGACCATCTGAAACCTGGCAAGGGCTGTAACTTGTGCTCTTCCCGGACATGAGGCGCACTATAATAACTGAAAAACCACCACAGTTGTGGTGGTAGTTGCTACACGTGTTAGAGAGAAAATGGCATAGAGGGGTGTGTGGCTGGTGGCCCCCTGTGATGGATGCTCAGGGGGAGGTGCAGACCAGCCCCCTTTGGTGCATCGTGCCCAGCTGGGTGGGGGTGTGCACTGGGTGCTTCGGGACCCTGTTCTGGACCAAACAGTGATGCTGTAAAGAGCAAGCATTAGAAAGGCTGGGCAATGTGATTATGAGCTAACCTTTTAGCAACAGCAGCAGGACTTTGGACCTGTTTTGATCAGCAGGGAGCATTACCTGTGTTTTATGTCCTACAATAAGATAAACCCCAGTATTTTGGGAAAAGACCTAGAAAAATTCATAAGGGTAGCACAAAGGGCTGAAGCATGGTCTGGAGTTGATGGTCCTTGGTGGATTTGGTACAGAGCATGGCCAGGCCATCTGCAAGCAGCTGGGTACATCTCCCCAGTCACACCAGAAGCCACCAGGAGAAGACGTAGAGTGGGCAGGAAGTACCTTGAAGGAAAAGCAGCTGTGCTTTTAAAAAGCCTTGATTTTGCAGATACTGGGTTGCAGGAGGCCAGTGCATTTGTGTTAGACCTTTGTTAGCAGCTAAGTGATGTAAGATGCGGCTTTTGAAGGACAGTCTGCAGGTCTGATATGTTCTTTTGCAGTTATTCAAAGTGATTCAAGTCCATCTACACATGAAGAGCCCATTCTCCCCACCCCAGAAGGCGCTCTATACCCCCTCGCTGACTCCAGCAACACAGCAATAATAGCAATGCTGTTATGTTTTTTTCACCTCCTGTCCTCATTGTAGACCATCTGTAGGCTTCTGTTTATGGAGTGGGAAAAGACCTTATATGACCTCTGGAAATACCTGGAAGGGAGTGTTTTGTTAAGGTTTTTGGGAATGAGGAAAATGACATCCTGTTACTAATTTAATTCAGTTTTACATGGATCTTATTATCAGAAAGACTGTTGAGTTTTGCAGGAATTGTTCTTGATGGGTATCCCAGCTTTATTGTAAGAACTCATAACTTTTATTTTTATAATAGTATGGGCAGATCTTATTATTACACTGCTGGATGAGCACACACATAACCAGACTGTTCTCTTAAACCTCACCATTGCAAACTTGTTGCTCTTCTCCATGACTATATCTTTCAAGTGCTGGAGATCTTTCTGAAAAATCCTCTTGTTCCATTTTCCACTTCCCACACACGTGTCTCTTGAGCATAGCCATAAGTGGAGACCAGTGGTGACTGATACCTGTAACCTGGCAAAAAAATCCAAAAATTGAATCTCCGGTTTCCTGTAGGCCAACCAAAGGATGTATCTTCTTGTTCAGTTCAGGAGCGCCCGTTGAAGCAGACCTCCCAGTTGTCTACCACATGTGCTTTGAATGCACTAATTACTCTTAACGACTCTAAACAGTCTCAGCTGGGGCCTCCACACCACACCCATGGGCCTGGCAGCCTATTTAAGATCTGTCCTGGGGTGCTCAGTCCTTTTTTTGAGCAACACGGGAGGAGTGCTGGTCTTCAGCTCAGCCACAGCTGTGCCTTTGCTGGTCCAGGGGCCCTGCTGGGCTAAACACCAACCTGGGGCTTGAGTTCCTCGCTTGACCTTGGAGCTGCCTCACCACCATGGACCTGCCCAAGGATCATGGGGCTTTGTCTGATCCTGATCTGTAAGCCGACTCACCTGCTTCATCACCATGAATGCGCCTAATGATCTGAAGTCTAGTTGACCCTGGCCACCATCTCCAGTCCTGGCCTGGTCCCTTACTTTGGGCACTGTGGCATGGGGGTGTCAGGTTTGCTGTCCCTTAGAAAGCAGCCAGCTCGTGCTGCACATTGTGAAGCCAACCCAAAATGTTTTAGCTAATACTGGGTCCTCAGCACCAGCTAATTCACTCCCTCTGTGTGTTCCTGCTGGGACTCAGTAATGTGAGAGTAGACAAAAAGCTGCACAGAAAGCAGACATCTTCATCACGTGTGAATCTCAGAAGTGCCTCGGAGGCTACGTGCCACTGGAAGTTGTTGGACTTAAACATCAGTTTCTGTGTTCAAGGTATGAGCTGGGGCACTCCAACACCAGAGTCAGCAAGTCTTGATCTTTTAGTCAAAAAAAGCGCAGTGGGTGCAGATTGCAGTGAGAAAGTCTAAGGTGTGTTGCACTGTCTTGAAAATTCTATGTACGTTCTTTGATTGGTTTGTCTGAGGTTTGACACATATTGGTAAAATTCTTCTCTGACCCTTTTCTTGCCAGCCAATGTCTCATCCTTCTCAACCATCCCCACAAGCGCCACCCTTCAAAGTCCTTGTGGAGAGATGTCGCTCTGAACCCCTCTCCCAGAGCACCCCGATGGGGCTGGACCAGGTGGGAGGGCGCATGCAGCACTTGCTCAGAAGACGTGGTGAGTAGCTTCGCAGTGTTTTTCTCCCAGTTTTGGTTTTTGGTCTCACTCATCCTGCAGAGCAAGCCAAAGGCAGTGTGGGTTGAAAAGTCAGAAATGTGTCTTGCATCCATGCTTGTCACAATCATGGAACCAGGTGAGGGAGCTCTGATAGCCTCGTGCTGAGGAGTTTCTTGTTAGCTAATAAGATCTTTTTGTATGCAGTGTATTTATGAAATGAGGCTATTTTCTCTCTGAACACAGTCCCTATAATTTGGTTATGAAAAGATGAACAGATAGGCACATAAGGTGCAAAAGCTGTTCAACAACTTCTGTGAGAGTTTGCATTTAGTAGTTTTCTCTTGGCTTTCTGTCCTTTTACCAGCCTCTGTTGTGAGTGTTTGCCATTTGGAGGTGGCAAGTGGTGATGGATACTGAGATCACAACTCAAGTCTGATGTTTGTTTGGAAACACAGCAAGAAGTGAGTTTTTTTTTTTTCTCCTGTGCTCGGGTACTCTTTCTCATCAAGAAGAGAATCTCGTGAGCCAAAGACTATGATTAGATATCTTCTGTGTTCGTCCTGCTCAAAACGATGCTAGAGAAAGCACTACAGAATGTATTTGCTGGAAGGGTCTTGTGTTGGCAGGTAGATGGTTGAATAGATGACATCATTTTTTGAACCTCTAATTAAAAAAGATTGGTAATTAGAGTGAGGAAATTATTTCCTGAAGGGATACTGCTAACACCAAGAATCCTGTGATTTAGTAATGGGCAAGTACGGGAGTGCTGCCAGACTGTGCTGGCACCGCTTGGGAGCACACGGGGGATCTGAGCAGTTAATGGATGGCGGCAGCACATCAGGGTTAAGAGGAACTAGGAGAGAAAAGGCGAAGGGGCTGCCTCTTTAATTAATGGCTCTTCTGCTGGGACGCACACGTTTCTAGCACACGGGGAGTAACACACGCATCTCACAATGTGAGCATTACTGTGTTTGCACGTCGCTCCCGAGTGCTACTATATCAGCACATTGCCTCTGGAGCTCTGGTAGCAGCCTCTTGCTATAATCGGCACTCGCACTGCAGCTTGATTTTTCTGTGAGTCTAGAAAGTGAAACGCGTGTTGCTAAAAATAACAGCAGGCTGCCTGCGTCAGCATCGCGTTTAGGAAATAGGTCTCAGTGCAATCTCTCTCCCAGCAACGCTGGAAGAAAATCAGGATTGCTGCCCACCGAGCCGTGCCAGGGTTGCAGCAGGGTCTCATCTCTGCTGCACTCTGTGCTGCCGCCCTGGCAGAGCGGAGTCCCCACCTATTTGATTTGGGGGCAGGGAGCGTGTAATGTGTGTTTGTTTTGCCCCTGTAAAGTAAAGGTGACCTGAACCCCAAGAGAAGAGGGTGTGGATCTCCACTCTCCCAAACCCTGGGACCATTTACCCTTTGTTATCTGGCTTCAAACCCCTCAGGACTGACACAGTCTGAAACCTCTGCCTGAGTTCAGGGTGCGTCGGGCAAAATAAAATTGGCTTTGTGCATCTTTCAGGGAAGAATATCAGAACGTAGCTGTTTTCTGTAGATGCTTTTCTTCATTAACAGGATGAGAAGCCTCCAGGGGATGGGAATCCCCGTGGGTGTGTGTGTGCGTACACAGGCACACGTACGTGCTCTGCCCAGACCACATGCACCTGCTGACAGGAGCCGTGGGGCTCCGTTTCGTTCCACCCAGTGGCTGTCACTCCCGGATAGGGGATGTGAAGAGTCTGATGGAGGAAGGGATTAAAATCTAACCTTGCCAAATGTAGGAGGGAAACCCCCCTGTCTCGCACAGAATAGCAGCTTCGCTCCAAAAAAGGAGGGGATAGGATGGGCAGCTAAAAATTGGGGTTGATTAGAAAAGCAGAGCTTAATTTTGAAAGGTGAGTTGCTAGCCATCCTCTACCGTTTGCCTCTTCTTTACAAGCTGTTTTGTGCTTGGGTATGTACCATCTGTAAGGCCAGGCTGAGATTTGGTGTAAATGGTATAGCTCTCTTAAAGCTAGATCGGAATTGCATCTGTGAGGGATTGGCCTGAAATATGCTTGGGGTGAGAAGTAGCCCAGTTTCTTTGAAAAACAGCTTTTATGGGCTTTCCATTTTTGTTTTCTGCATCAATTCAAGGAGCTGTTTCTTTTTCAAGGCATTGCATCATATGGACCACAGCGACTGTAAAGCTGGGATTTCTGCAGGTCCAAACTGCAGAGGTGCTGTTAGCAGTTATGACCCAAGGAGCTATTGCACTTTTAATACTGGTGCATGCAGATGAGGCTCTTGTGCTGCTTGGTGCTCCTGGGAGAGCATTCTGGCTTCACACCCAGCCTGTCTGACCCCACCTGCTTACACCACCTCTGAATTTGGCTCTCGGCTCTTAGTTTGTGCCTGCGTTTTTGTAGTATCCAAGCTGCACTATTTTTCTTGTATCCCAAGAGCACTGAATAAAGCACCTAAATATACTCTCTGCTCTCTTTTTCTAAAGAAGAGGTTGAATGAGTCTCTTGCAAACAATTTTGTTTCTTTCATTTAAAAGAACAGCCTCCGCCCCCAGCCTGAGCTAAAGCACAGCATTTATCTTTTGTCATTCCTTTTTTTTCCTGTGGATTTTATCCTGGCAGCTGAGAACGAACAGGCTTCAAAGACTCTGAAGGTGCGCGGGAACTGCAGGAACGGTGGACGTCGATGGAACCTCTTCAAGCCAGGAGCTGAGAAGCTGCAAATCAGTAGGGTAAGGTGTTGTTTGAAATATACTTCTGCCTGCTTTAGGGGTGGCATTTACCTGCCGCATGTTTAGCCTCAGAAACTAACAATATGCTTTGCTAACAGCTTCCCGAATCTCTGGTTCCTTCAGCTACAGATGGGGAATTTTGTTATTAGAGTTATTTTGTACCAATAGGTCTGTTATCCTTTCTCCCCAGATTAGTTTCCCTTCAATGTATATCGGAGGCTTTATGGTCTAACGGAGGCACTGGGCCTCCCATTTCTTCGGCTGAGTGTTCCTTGCAGGTGGAGGGAACTGTGATGTTTCAAATTGCCTATAGATTTGCTCTGTGGTTTTGATTTTTTTTTTCTTTTTTTTTTTTTTTTCCCCTCCTTTCCTTTTTAACCGTGTGTCCTTTGGGTTTGGTACTGCTACCAGCACCATGCTGGTGACAAATTCATGTCACCGATTCTCTCCTAAAATGTTTTGCAAATATAGGCACAATCTACTTTGCGTTTTTTTTTGTGAATGATGCTTCTAGTGGGGGAAGTAAAAGCTCTTGTGGGCCTGGGGATGTCCATGTATTTCTCAGGGAAAAATTCAGAAAATATGGTAAAATTTATACCGTTTGTCTGATATGTTTCTTTGCTTGGGTGGGGGAGTTGTTTTTCATCTATGCCATGCCGTGCGTTTGAAGTCAGAGGCCTTGGTTGTTCCATGGTCTCATTTTGGATTTGTATTATTTGTGAGTCTGGTTTCACTGGTAACCAACCAACCAGTGACTCTGGGTTATCCAAAGCCTGATAGATTTGCTAGCTGGCAACTAACGTGATGCAGGGAGAGTTTTTCTAGTGAATAGGGCAGACAAACAAAGGATGATCCAGGAGCCAGGAATTTCCCTGCTGGATCAAGATGGGGAGCTGACCTTCTGCAATTGTCTCTCTTGCTCTTTCCTTCCCCATTACTGTCCTTCCTTACCAGTCCTTTATTGTATTAATTTTTCCTTTGATATCTGATGAACTGCCTTCCTGAAATGTGATTTCCAGAGAGGACCTGGCCTCTGTGTCTGTTTTTCCATCATAGAAGCAGTAAGTTGGCAGTGAGACTGACTTCTCCAGCCTGCTTGCATTGGGTGTTAGCTTCCAGGGGACACGTGCAAGGATGGACCACTGGTATTTCAGTCACTTGTGACTTTCTGGAATGCCATCTTGCATCACTTTTGTTTTCTTTCCTGTTTTTTTTGTGGGCTGAGTTACAAGCCAGAGGATAGATAAGGAGTTCAGCCCTTCCTTTTCTTGCCCTTTCCTTTGGGTCCTACCTTGCTTCCCAGACATAAACTGCTTCTTTCAACTCAGCAAGGCTGTGTTGGTTGTAGGCATGCTGAACATCCAGCTCCTGGAAGATAAAATCCAATAGCTGTTTGTCCTTGGGGCCAGAATAAAGGCAGGCAACTACAGAATTGCTGTTACAGCAATGAAATATCCTATTGTGCAGTATGCAAGCCCTACCTCGGAATATCATTCGGTGTGTTACCCATATAAACTGTTTTCATGTTCAGGATCTGGTGCTGACCAGTGCATGGATATGTTTGGTCTACCTTAATTAATCAAACGCTTTCTTAATCTCTTAAAAGGTGCCATAGGTTTTGCAGCCTTCATAGCTGTCCTTCAGGCCCTGCTTGGAAACCAAGGTGCTATTCTGTTTTGACACAGTATTGCTACTGAATGCATCAGAAACAAGATGGTCTGTGCCCTGAGTCATCTCAATAAAACCAGACCTGTTTCTGATTGCAAATAGAGCCTGACATTAGAGCACCCTTACCGAGGCAGCGGAAAATTAAAACTGCAGCAAACCAAAAACACTCCTGAAGTTTGGGAAGGGTTAGTTAAGAAACTTTGCTTCTACAGTTCTGATATATAGGAAGGATGTGGAACTGGAAAGGGAAATGAGCTTCTCATGAGTGCAGAGACCAGTGTGTGATGTTTGGCTCAGACACGGGCATGCCAAGGGCCTGTGCATCACTGGGACAGAGAATTGGTTCTGGGTGCTGATCAAGATGCCCTCCGAGACTTGTTCAGCCCTGCTATTAGGCAGCTTGTTGCTCAGCTTGAATTATGGTGAACAGGCAGGTGTGAAACCTGTTCTGGGCTTTATAAATCAGAGGTACTGTGTTAAGTGCTGCAGAAGTTGAGTATATAAATGTAGCTAACAATAGCAGTGCTGGAAAATTCATCTGTCGCCTCCGTCCCAAGCTGAGTGAAGATCTACAGGTCTGTAAATCACCTCTTTGCCAGAAAGAAATTTTTTCTTCGGCAAGATTTATAAATTTGAGGTAAGATTTGTGGGCTTGGGTTTTTCTTGTCAGGTGCATTCATTGACAGCTGACAACCAGTCAAGTGGCAGAGCTAGCCCAGAAAGAGTGATTTATACTTCCAAATCAGAGGCCAGGCTTCTGCAGAAACTGTGCCTTATCACCATCTTGAATGGGAATGGGTGAGGTGGACAGAGAGCAAGAAGAGATGGACAAAGGATCGGGCTTGTCTTAGCGGCCTTGGTACCATCTTGGCCCTTGGAGAGATGCGGGTGGTTGTGATGCCAATGCTCTTTTTGCCCATGTCATGCAAAAATGCGGAGCTGTTGATGAGCAGCTGCCTTGCGAGCTCTCGGAGGCTGGTTATTCTTTGCATTATGTGCACATTTTTGCAAAAACATTACCATCCCCTTTCCTTATTTTTTTTTTTTTTAATTTTTGGTGGGGGGGACAAGGGGGGTAGAGTTGTATGTGTGATTTAGAAATGGCATCTCTTAACTACCTGCTAATCCAGAAGTCTGGGCCGAGGGGCTGATCCTAAGCCCAAGTAGGAATCCCCCTTGTCAAAGCCACTGCTTGTCACATCTGGTAACAGTGTCCATCGTTTTACAGCTGGCTGCATCTTTATCTGGTCAGACAGCAGGGATAGCAAAACACAGTTGCAGAAGTAAGTGGAGGTAGCAGGAGAGGAGAGAAGGGCAAGTATCTAATCCTGTGCTCCATCTCATCTTCATCCTAGGAGTGTACATGTGCATGCACAAACCTGTGTTTTTTCTTACTGCTCATGGCTCTCTTCTCCTATCGGTCATGCCCAAGCTGTCCAAACAAGTGTGTGTCTGCAAGTCTGGGCACAAACTTTAGAATTTTTCTATGGAGTAGGTAAGTTTTATTGCTCCTACTTCATAGGTGGGAATAAGAAAACTGAAGCACTAGTGGGTGATATGTTTAGAGCCATGCAATATTTTTTTTTATTTCTCTCCTAATTTCCAGAAGCAGGAAAAAAGTAAATAGGGTCAAACTGAGTCGGCTTTTAAAAGTTTTCAGTGTTGGGTGTTTTTTTTGTTTTGTTTTGTTTTGTTTTGTTTTTCCCCCAAGAAGTACTCTTCTCAGCCTGGAGAAAACTTTGAATTGAAACAGTTTATGTGCAAAGCATTTTGCTTTAGCACTTAGGTCACTTAGAGCCTTTGCTTTTACGAGAGCAGTTTGGCACAATCAAGACCAACTTGCACCAGGACCTCAAGGTGCCCAAAACTGCAGGATTTGCTGCAGCAGACAGTCCTGCCAGCTGGGACACGGCTGATCCCTGGGGACAATGGACACGGGAAGAAATTAGTTACTTTCTCCAGCCCCAAAGCAATTCTGGGAGCTGTTTTACAGTCTGGATGGCAGAAGCAGAGGATGACAGTCCCCTCCTGGACTGGCTTCGTTCTGCACCAAATCACTGGCCTTTGCTGCTGTTTATGAAGGGACCTGTTGCTTCTTCTTAGCTGTTCAGTCTAAGTCATCTCAGCTCTTTCCATAGACAGATGCTGTGAGGACATAGTCCAGAAGGAGATTCAGCTCACCCTAAAATCAGAATCATCCTCTGAGTGTGCGTTGGTTCTCTCTATCTCACCTGTCCCTAGAGATTTAATTTTTAGCCTTTAATTTAGCAAAGATGACTGCAAACACTCCTGTTCCCTGCACCTTTTCCCACTTACTGTCCTGTGTGCTCTTGTAAAAGCAAAGCCAACATTTATATGCTGGAGGAAGCCACTGACTAATTAGTTAGAATGGAAACTTTGCATAAGAGCCAGCTTGACTTCCCCTATACTAATACTAGGCAGGCCTGAGGTGCTGAATATTCAGAAAAAATCCACCAACCCAGCCTGTCCTTTCTCCTAAGTCATGAGCTATTTTCAGAGGCTGATGGGGGGTTGCCACTGCAGTGATGGTGGATGTGTGAGTCCACAGCTCCCCAAATTCCCCACTGGCATGTTTATGAGGAATAAGAAATTCAAACAACGTGCAGCCTCCAAGAGCACAGAGTGAAGGGAAAGTTGATTGGGGTTCTCTCTTGCTCACGCTGTGCTGCAATGAATAGGGAATGCTGCTTGATATTCAGTACCAGCTCTCCTGCTTTCTATTTTTATCTTCTAGCATAATGCTGAGTGAGCATTTTGCTTAGTGGGGTTATTTTTTTTTTTTCCCCTACTTGAAATGTGTCCTGCACCATGTTTCTCTTGCCTTGCTACTTAGGGGAGAAAGGGGGTGTGGCAGGGATCCTGGACTGCTGCATTCTGATACGTGAGCTGGATGTAATCATAGTAATTTTTCAGTCCTTCTGTCAATGTGAATAGGCTGATAGAAAAGCATAGTCCCGTGGCTTTCCTGGTGCTAATTAGTTTAAATATCAGTGTGCTGGTTACGAGAGGTTTATATGTATGTGTGGAGGGCTGCCAGAAAAATACATCCTCTTTGAATCTCTCTTTCCTCATTTTAAACAATCAGTACTTCTGCTGGCATGGTATGCCTGATCTGTATCTTTTTTTTTTTTTTGGGGGGGGGGGTGTTTTGGATCTTGATAAACCTATTACACTGCTCTACTTAGCAGTGCTCTGAAATCTTGATGTAGTTTTTCCATTGCTTTTCTCCGTGAAGCCACTCTTAGGCATTTATAAATGTTTTTGCAAGTTCTGAAAAATTCTATCTGTGCAGGATTGTTAAAAGAAATAAA